TATTTTTTAAACCATTTATTATACCTAAACGAAAATAACTATGCCATAATCATTGTACAACATGTTTTTATTATTCGTATATGTCATGTATATACAATCAGGGTTTCAGACCAATGATAAGAAAGCATTACGCGGAATGAAAGTAGGCGACTCAACTTTTTATAATGATGCACATAATTTCTCATCAAGCCTCACATGAATACATGCACACACTCATTTTCTATCTCCTGTATCGGTAGCGTTTAAAGTGGAACCATAACTGAAAGATATCGTTGTGAAATTGGCACCGGAAACCCTTTTTATATGAATATTCCCATTCTCGGTTGACAACTTTAAACGCGATATCCTCGTATGGGGGACCTGCATGAAAACGTAATATAGAAAAGTCAGTGTTGTCCTTACATGGAATGAGAAAATACTGAGGCGTCTTGTTCTTATCAATGAGGTCCGGATAGAAAATGTTGAATTTGTAGCCTTGAACAATTTTGGGTGGCGGATTATCGATGTCATAGTGTGTCTGATTATACTTATTCCACTCAAAGCCTGTATGAACGCGGTTAAAGTACCGCGGTTTTCGCGGTCGCCATTTGTCACTCCATTGGTATGATTGAGAATCGACAAGGTTCTCCTCAACGCTGAAGCGGGCCTCGTCTGAATCCATACCTTTACGAGCTTCTCGCTCAAATTCTTCTTCTATACGAGTCAGCTTGGCGGTTCCACTAGAACGCAACATCATTTTACGAATCTCTCGTCGCTGCTCATCCTCATCGGGGTCGGTTAGGAGAGTGCCAGGTTCAAGCTCTTGCGTCGTAAGTAGCGTTGGTGTATATCTGCCTGCGTGGTAATCCTCTATGCTCTGTTGTAATGGGTCTAATTCGCCCCGTTCTGAAGTTTGGCTGCCCTCATCTTGGCCTGTCCTAGGGCTACTGCTGCCTTCTGCACAGGTGTACCGAGATGCAATATGTTCTTCTTCCGCTACTCCTTGTTCCATCTTTAATTGCTCCAGTTTCTTTCGAAGATTTTCTTCATGGCGTTCTCGAAGTCGGGCTCTAGCCATATACGAACGCAAACGTGATAGTAATGTTTCCCAGTAAGCGACATCAAGGCCCGGGGCCTTGTTACTCAGCTTTAGTTCTATTTGACCTTTGAGGACTTCAAGCTGTTTAGGTGTTTTGCCTTTGAATACACTGACGATCTCGGAGCTGACTTCAGTGCTAATAGCACTACGCCCGCTTCTATCATCCAGAGCATTCTTCTCCTCGTTGTTCAGCTGGCGAACTTCTTCGTCGACGATAATACGAATATCGTTCCAATATTCTTGATTCTTTTTACTCTCAAGCCGCATGTAAACGCTAATATCCTCAATAAGGTCTTCGAAGTCATCAAGCGTTAGCCCATTCAAATAGAGGTAAGGTTCAATCATATCCACAGAAAAATCTTCTTCCTCTGCTGAAATGTATCGAGCGAGAAGATCAATCGGTTTAGCGCGACCGTCCTCAATACGAATTTTTGAACGGAGTTTGGCTTGTTGCAAATGGAAACTGTCCTCCTGAGCTGCCCACTGCTCAAACTGCGCACCCTCACGCTGACGTTGCTCCATTTCAATAGCTGCATCCCGTTCAGCGCGTTCTCTTTCGCGTTCTAGCCGTCGTTCTTTGACTTTCTCCAGTTCCTGCCGTTGCTCTTCACGTTTGCGTCGGTTCATACGCTCTAGTTCCTCGTCCTTAATGTCTTTAAAACCCTCTTTTTCTAACTTTTTCGTCCACTTAAATGTTTGGAGTAAATTGGAATCACCGAATGGATTATCGTGATTTGTGTAACCGGCATACTCTTCATCCCAGCCCATCTCTTGTTTTCGTTTACGTTCCTTAGCTTCTTTTTTAGCGAGACGACGTGCCCTCTTCTGCTCAGGCGTTTCTCGCTCCTTCATAAGCTGCTTAAGGCGTTTCTTTTCCTCCTTTCGGCGTACTTCTTCCTCTTTGAGAAACTCACTATACTTTTCCCGTTCGCCCTTGCTCATTGCATCCTTATGCCTCCGCTCGGTTTTGGTCTTTTCTTCATCACAGTCTTGCTCATAGGACGTACTTCGGGACGCGTCGCTGGTGCTCCTAGAACGTGGCGCCAATTGTTGCCTGGAACTCTTGCCCTGGCTACTCTGCTCGTATTTCGTAGCATAATATTTATCACAAGTCTCACTTTCACATGTGGAATCACCTCTAGTTTTCTTTTCATGTTCCGACTTATTTCGACGTTCATGAGGAGATTCTCTTAAATTGCTCTTATGATGTCTTCGTTCTTTAGAGTCGGTTCGATCTCGGCGAGAATCTTTTTGTCCACAATAGCGAAACGTGGATTTATATTGAGGACGTTCGAGCCTCTCTCGTGACCGGTTCCTTTCCTTTGATGCGCGGTTGCTCTCAGCTAAACTCTGCCCTCTGTCACGGCTTCGACATCGTGTGGTATTTCTACGACAACGGGAAGAGCTTCTTTTACGCTCCTTTACCAAGTGCTTTTCAATAGAGCCTTCCGGGCTTCTTCGGTTACCATCTTTCTGCGAACCCTTATTGTGCCCGCGATACTCTGGTGAACTTCGTGATCGCTCCACTGCATTATCAACGTCTTTTCGTCTTGACGTTGAACACGAACGTTCATCTTTTTGAGAATCCAAGGTTTTTTCTATTTGTCTATAATCTTTAGAGCTACGTTCTCTCCGCCATGAGCGACCTTCATCCGAATCCGAACCGGATCGAGTTGAATCAGTCGGGCTGCTACTACTTCGACAGCCACGTCGACGGGAAGAACCCATCTAATGCGAGTAAAAGTGTTCGGCGGTACGTGCTCCTCGGAAATCAGGCCAACGAGAATCTTCTGAAATACATGAGCTTGCTTTTACTGTCCAAGACATACGATGGTCAGAGATGACGACGGAGGTAAGCAAAGAAGGATTTTTTTAAATTAACGAGGAGGCCTGGCAAATGTAACAACGAGTGCCATAAAGCACTATTAATAGTAATCATGCAGAAATGAAATTTACTCTCAAAGATAGACCACAAACATTGAGTAAAAATATTTTTTATCGTACCTACTTAGCAAAACACTGCGATATACCCCAAAACATCACTACTACAAAGAGCTTACATTTGATCACACTACAGTCCTTAAATATTCTAAATGGCTTTGTCTAATTCCTTTATGATAGGGTATCACGTTAGATACGCACATATAGCTATAATTTTTAACGACAGGCGTGAAAACAGTATGAACAATTAAGAACACGAACTTTATATTATACATAAAGTTGCAGATATTTAAATAAATATCCAGATAAAATTATTCCAGTTAATGAATTAGGTAAAAAAAGGACAGGATTACCTTTTCTAAATCACTGCAAATAGCTTCATCGTCACCCGTGCAGATTCGGCTATTGGATTCCAATCAGATATCGCTTCAAACATGAATTTTAAAAATGCATTTACAGAGTAGAGCTTCTTTTAAGAATATCCAACTCTCTCACGATGCCCTCACCGTCAAAATGTAGAGGAAACCACCGAACACATTTTGTTTAGAGGAGTAAACATCAAGTGCCCAGTCCGAGCTAAAATGGAGGGCAGCCGTGGTACCTTTGTGATGCAAACCCATACCGAGGGAAAGAGTTGCCCTCACCCATCTAGGATGAGGGACGACATCGATTCGGTTGTCCCAGTAAAACGTAGCGGATTTTTTTCTGAAGTAGGCTGATTAGTGATGCATAAGCTAAACGCGACAGATGACAGATTAAACGTGACACAATAGCTCCCCTGGTGTATTATTTTATGACTTGTGGTACACTTGAGCAAGCTAAGCAGACGAATATGACTTCTGAAAGAAAGAGTTCTATTTTCCCGCGTTTGTTTAACTACTATAGTTAGGCTAGTTCTTCGCACGAGAAGAACTGTATAACAGCACTCGCGAAATCAAACTGTATCTCTATTTTTGACCTTGACCGGTTTCAAAATTTCATTCACAAGTACGTGCATTTGAAGAATTCTAATTTTTGCCGCAACGATAATGGAAACTTTAAATGTACTTTTTGTGACTTTGGGTGTGCTTTCCTTATAGTTTCATAGTTATTGTTTATCACAGTTTGTACTACAATAAATCAAATTGTTGATAAAGCTGCGCCAACGTTATAGTGAAAGATTATTAATTTCGCAGAAAGTGTAAACGGCAGAACAATGAAAATACTGTTGTACGTGTTTTCATTACTTTAATATATTATATAATTGACTGCCTACTGGTATCTGAAAAATGGTAGGCATATAAATCCCATTTTATCTTTCTTTCGTATGATGTATCAAAACAATGTATAATAAAACATGAACAGACGCTGAACCCCTGTTTTATAAAGGAGCGCATCGTAATGCAGCAAAGTAAAAACTTTGTTTGTGCCCTCTTGTTTGTTTGGCGACGAATTGTATATCTATGCTATAATATATATGTATATAGATTATAGCACAAGTACGGCTGATCTTCGAAACTGTGGAAGACACACATTGGTAGAACTGTAAAAAAAGATGCCCTAAAGGCTCACCTTAATCAATATAATCTCTATTTTTATATTATGCACATGCATACACTTTCAAATATTACATTAAGATTTATTTGTTAAAAATCGAGATCAGCCTTAAACGAATTTGACTGAATCTCTGGGAAAGTAGATCTTCTTGTTTTCTCGCGATATAGCAATATAATATCATTAATTTCTCTAAATTAATCCGCTGTGCTTTTTTTCAATTTTTTGTTCGCGTATTTCTATTCACATAATTTCATAGAGATTTTGAAAAAACAAATAACTTTTTTTTATTATCGCATCCAGACAAAACTCGAACGCTGTAATATAAACCTATAATATTTCTGGGCAACCAGTTAGAAAATTATTTTGAGACAAAAAGATGGGTTAGGTCTACATGTGTTTGTTTACCTGTTTATTTTACCATTAGCTGTCGTGTCAGCAGCAGCAGCTGCAGCAGCAGCAACAGCAGCAGCAGGGGCTGCCGGGGCAAGCGGTGGTGAACAACTTCCAAGCGAACCTCTAGATATGGCGATCCGGAGCGCAAGCGTGGCTGGTATGGGAATGGCCTCAGCCCTAAAAAGGCTCCGAGCCCTCATCCGGGCACAACCTGAGGGCATCTCAGGCTATATCATCCCTCATGATGATGCTCACCTTGTAAGTTTTTCTAATACATATACGATTTACCTACACTTATCAATGATTATCACAGCCATTATGTCAGCAAGCCCGTCATGCCCCGATTGTCTACTCGGGTTGTTAGCTGTGCATCATTTAGATGAAGTCCGGTTATCCTTATCCTTCTCTTTTTACAAATTTGTCAGATTTCATTTAAATTGTCAATTGCGCCATCAAGGAGGATGAAGGAATATTTACCTAAGAGATATGCGGTAGCATCCAAATCCATCGAAACTTACCCAGCAGATCTCTAAAAATTGTTATCAATTATAATACTTTATAACAGGCAACAGCGTTACTTGGTATTAGATCCACAGACAAAATTCGCACTTTATATAGTCCATGATGAGCGAGGTAACATTTTACAGAAAGATATATCGCATGTACAAAACTGAATGATCAAGTATGTGGAAATGAAAGATATAAGCTCAATTATTATTTTTTAATCGATCGCCCACTAAAATAGACACGTTTCATTGCAAACAACCAGTGATCATTAATGACATTTATAATGAATATAATTAATCTACAGACTATAGACTTGAATTAATTTAGCTAACAAAATTTCAGCTCAATAATCTTCTGAATCCTTTCGCCATCACGGCAACTTACATTAGCATTAAATATTTTAAAATATTGTTATTGTGCCCAACATTTGTTTACACAGTATCGAGCTTTAAAGTTTGCTAATAAACATCTGTATGGGTTTTTTCATATCTTACTTAATACTTTATTACTGGCAGGGTGCCTTTTATTGATTCGTCAACCAAATTCGTACGAATTCGAGGCATTTATCAGACAAATTATTACCGTTTTGCAGAGTGAGTATATTTCGTCGAGTGACGCTCGACTGGAGTTCATCAGCGGTTTTACAGGATCGGCTGGCACGGCTATTGTCACAGAAGATCAAGGGGCGTTATGGACTGACGGCCGATATTACAAGCAGGCTGAAAACGAATTGATTGCCCACGCCGCAGAGCATGGACATCAACAATGGACACTTATGAAAGAAGGTGGCATTTGTTGTTCTGACCCATGTTGCGCACTGATGATTAAGTTATATTCAACAAATTTTCGGATGATACTTATCATCAATCTAGTTTATTTATATCAATTATATATATAGTAAAGGGTATATATGTGAAATATTGTATTTTCAGCGGCGCAATGGTAGAAAATTTTGTGAATCCTCAGGCGGGTTTATTACCATGGACAACTATTTTATCGGGCACTAATACACATAACATCAGATTCGTTGCGTTGCACTAAGTTTAATTCAACGAAAGTCTTAACACCTCTGGTTAATAGGATGCCCTACAAAAATTAAAAAAAAATTGTATTAATGTAATATATGAAAAACTATGTTTTGGTTCAGGCTTGCCAGAAACTCTGGAACCACACCAATGGCTTTCAAAGGTCCTGCCGGCAAAAGGCAAAGTCGGGGTTGATCCTTTGCTAATCTCGTACACTGGATGGGAAAGGCTTGCGCAGAAGTTAGAGGGTGCCGGACATAAACTGGTGCCAATTATACATAATCTTATCGATCAGGTGCGTAACTAATGTCACAGGAAGCAGAAACCGACAGTCAAGCGATAGTCGAGGGACAGCATACCAGCAGTTAAATTTTTTCGACTGTAAATAAAGAACGTAATTATTTTTATATCTATAGTGGATCATTTAAACCGTACCAATCAGACTCTCATGTACGTTATGAAGGAAAATTGCGTCTTTACTCAATTGGCTTTAAAACATCTTTTAGGTATGGGAAGAAAAACCCTCTCCGCCTGGAACAGCGGTTGAGGTCTTACCTTTGTCATTAGCTGGACGCAGTTGGCAAGAAAAACTTGCGGATGTGCGTTCGGATCTCAAAGCGAAAAACGCTCAAGCGTTGGTCGTCACCGCTCTCGACGAAATTGCATGTACGTACTGTCGTGACGTAATTGTCTATCCAAAGCACCCGCCAAAATATTCTGCCTTCAATATCGGATAATAAACAACAACCGTTATCGCCTACTTATTTGTAAGACTGGCTTAAAACTATTGAATTATAGTGCATGACAGCCATTGGAACCGAGTGATATACTGATGTAACCTTCACATGTATATAATATTGTAACATGTATGTGATAATGCACGACGATTTTTATAATCCTGTCTATCTGCCATAGGTCTATTATGAGTGATTTGAATTCGCTTGACGTTTAATAAAATTTCGAATAATATAATATTGGACATGTCCAGACATGACAAATCCGGATATAATTTACGTCACTTTTGTCTATACGTCTTTTCGGCAGGGCTATTCAACTTACGTGGAAGCGACATCGAATTCAATCCGGTGTTCTTTGCATATGCTGTAGTGACTTCAAAAAGTGCGCATCTTTTTGTGCACGAGGATAAGATCACCGTAAGCCTTGAGAAACATCTAACTTCATCCTCCAGCAGTCCAAGTAGCGACGTATCTTCGAGTGCGGGAAGCTCCCGATCAGGAGATACGAGAATGGACACTAGTGGTGACCCAAACGATCAAACTGGGCAACAGTCTCAGCCTTCTGCACAACACCTTCACCAGTCCGTGCTACCTGAAACTGTCGACATTCAACCCTATTGGTACTGGTCACTTCTTGCAAATAATTTTTCTTTAATAACTTCTTTAAAGGGCTCGGATCTCTAAATCCATTTTCGCGTATTTTTGTACTTGTTCATTAGGTTAAGCGAGCCCAATAAGTGCAACTCGGTACCGTCTAACGTGACTACATGTAAAAAGTCGTTATGAAGCACAAAAATTCTCTCATCTATAATCTTTTAGGATACAACTTTTTAAAATAAATTTAATACAGTATTTTGCTTGTCCAATATCTCACAAAGGTAAAAATTTTTCAGATAAAGTCTGATTGATAAATTTAAAAGTGCCAATGTTGACGAACGGATGACATATACTTTAATGCGGCTCTCATAATATTACGACTGATGATGTTGGTAATGTTACTTCGGTCTGTTTGAATGATACGGGATGCGTTCGAGTATATGGGGTGGTGATGGTATCCATAACAATAAGGAAACTGAGCTTTGTACCTCCCTCACTAGTTTGTCGAGATAACCAGTAACGAGAAACAGTCTATGTAGCTCGATGGAGTAACTGATAATATGTATAATTAAGGCTATACAGAACTCCTATTCTTTTTATCCGACAGAGATAAAAAGGAAACAGGAACTACAACAGTGCCGTCACGTAGCAATTCTTTCACTATTAAATAAATTGACCAAATGATGAAGAGAGCTGATATTTAGGAATTTCCCGTAGGCACAAACTATTCATATATGTTCATGGGCTTTCCAAGGGTTTAGCATGGCCTAACTTATACATAGGTCGAACCCAGCTCTTCCAATAGAAGGCAACGAAAGAACTACGAGGTACAACCAAACAAAGGAAAACAAAAATAACAACAACAACGACAATAACAGGCACATCAAAACTGTCTATACGGGTAATATTATATACATCTATGCATACACATATATATATATGTATATTACATTTATATATATATAGAAAATCTGAGCAGATTATGCTAATGGACACGTTTATGTAGTACAAACAATAAAGGTAATAGTGTTAACGATAACAGCAATAAATAAGTAAATAGATATAAATATTTCAGTGGTACACGTAGAAATTAACAGAATAAAGAGCAATGTTTAATGAGTTACGGTCGACGACTGAGAATAATTAGGGACAATTAGTTTTGACCTTAAGGAACGATATTGAAAAGTGTGTAAGTTTAATATGATGTCAGAAGTTACATAAAGTAACTAACCAATATACAAGGTACCTTTTTGTATATGAAAAAGCATACTGCAGGACTGCGTTGTCATTTCTCAACTCTGGATGTTGTTTGCTTCTGTAATCTACTTGATATATTTCTATCAATTTATCAAACTTGATATAGGCTGAATAAATTTTGCTGTTTTAGCTAATGGAACTCGACTGAATTCTCCATTGCAGGGTGTTTCGGGAGTTTCTATCGATGCTTATCCAACAGCGGTCGGGTCGCGTGTGGGTATCGCCCAAGTCGTCATACTGTATCGTATCTATCGTTCCTGAGGAGAGGCGCATATTGGAGCAATCACCCATTCAAGTCAGGAAAGCTGTTAAGAACACAACCGAAATCGAGGGCATGAAAAAAGCACACGTTAGTATTGCTACTTTAATACTAATAACTACCATCATCAGTTAGTTGCGCTTGTTGTTAAATTTTAATTATGCTTCATTTGTGAAAATGATTGCAATTTAATTAAAGTGATTTTCATTGTATTGATTCCTTATGGAAAGACGTGACTACTGTCATTCGTTCACAGCTCTAACGATGACACATCTTCCGCTCAGCTTCGTCTTTAACTTAAGAAATAGCTCCTTCTTTTAAGCTGTTTTTCTTAAAATAGCTGAAATTTACCGGTAAAAATTAAGTTGTGGGAAATCGAACACCAAAAGTGTCACTTTAAAAGCTAGAAATCGATGGACCAAGCTTTACCAATGACATACAGTACACAACAAGTGAAATTAAATAGAAATCTAGATTTCATTCACCTTCTTTTCCACGCGGTTCTTTCAAAGTGTTTACTGCTCGCACTTCCCTCCTATTTCCTTTACCAATGATTGTTTTCGGCGATCATGCCTAACAACGATTTAAGAGTCCGCAGCAACAAAATTCTATCGCATACTATTGTCCATTACGGTCCATTATGAGTACTGACGTTTGTATTTTCCTACGATGACCACAGACGGTATTGTATAATGACTGCTACAGGCTTGGATGAATAGGGTTCTGCTGTGTGAGCTATGAATCTTTAAAAATCTCTGTAGAATGATTATTTCCGTAAAAAATTAAAAGCAAACATTTAATGACAATAATGGACTTGCTCTAGATTCGTGACGCGGCAGCGATGTGCGAATTTATATCTTGGTTGGAACGTGAGGTGCCAAAAGGTGGAGTGACAGAAGTGTCTGCCGCAGATAAACTGGAAAGTTTCCGTCGAGCTCAGACTGATTTTGTGGGGCTCTCATGTGCCACCGTTAGCGCGTCGGGGCCAAATGGCGCCATTATACACTACAGACCCACAAAAGACTCCGACAGGTAATATTATTATTGTCCATAGTTTTGCTTCCGGTTTACATTTTAAATAATTGTGTAATAAATAAATAATAAAGTGAAGCTAGTTTGGGAACGATTTATTACGCATAAATGAGAGATAATATCGGAAATTCCAGAAAATTATTTTTGCTCACTTAGGTCATCAAAATGTTGTACAGACATTGCTCGAGTCTGTTCAGTCGTGTTGTAGACGGGCGAAGACTTAATTAAGTAATAAAATGGCTCCAGCAGGTGCTAACAGAATAAGCATCCTTACCGCTTAATTATTACAACAAACTATGTGTAAAATCGTTTCGTAAGCATTTACTTTGATCGTTTACCTATTATAATGCAATAATTGGTTTAATGCTTCTAATATGATGGTCCTATTACAGACCTATAACGAGTGAAGATCTCTATCTGGTCGATTCTGGAGGCCAATATCGGGATGGCACAACAGATGTTACACGAACAATCCACTTCGGAACGCCAACGGCCGAACAACGGGCATATTTCACCCGAGTTGTAAAAGGCGTTATTCTTCTAACTACGGCAAAATTTCCTCGGCTTGTAAAGGTAGGTTATACAGATTCTCTATAATTACCAGGTTTTAAGATTTTATTGTATTTAATTTTAAAATATACGTAGCATATATTGTTGAGACCTGGCACTGCGGAGGCACTGTATAATACTACGGTATGCTTCGCCCATAACAGTATTGCATATCATTTCATCTAAAGTATTAAGAAAAAACTAAGAAAGACAGGAAGCTAGAAAAAGACTTATGCTGTAAGAAGACATATATTGTTATGCCATTTTGAAGGAAAGTGATACCTCTGAGTTTTTGACTTAATGCTGTTTTAAATCAAGAAGGGGAAGCGCAGCTTGAAGGGATCATTTAAAAACAAACGAATTTCATTAAGACAGCATTTATGATTGCGTATTCTTTGATTCAACAAGGGGGATTTTAACTAAACTTGTACAGAATAATTTATCAGTCTAAAAGAGTTTCTGCGCTCTTTTAGCGCTCTCTTCTGCGCAGCAGTAGCCTATAGCAGTGGCTTGGGTAGCTAACTATCTCGCTGCAAAGCCAGAACCTATCTCTTTGAGCCCCGTAGTAAGACATGCGCATGGTATTTTTTAAACTCGTGAGTAATAAGTACACTACTGCTGTAAACATTACCTTGCGAATTGTAAAACAGAGAACAACAGCTCCCTGTTGCCCCCGAAAATATACCAGTTGGTAACAGGTAGTTCAATTGATTCTTTCACGGTACAGGGCGCTATGATCGACACACTGGGCCGTAAGAGCCTATGGGACGTCGGATTAGACTATATGCATGGAACAGGCCACGGAGTTGGCGCTTATCTTAACGTGCATGAGGGACCCTTTTCGATCTCGTATAGGGACAACCCTTATGATTGTGGACTGCGCGAGGGCATGTTTAGTAGCATCGGTAAGTTTTGTGTGAACACATGTATATGGATAGCAGGTAGGCTTTGATTCCTATTAAAGCTCACTAGGTGTTTGTTTAGTCTATTTTTGTACTGACACCTTTTTACTCTAAGGCCTTTTGGTGCTGAAATTAATTCCTCTGATTCCTCAATAGAACTGCTGAATGTAGGCTTAATTGAATCCCTAGTGTTGTGCAATAATACATGGCCTAATTGAGCATTAGCGTATTTACACGAAGTAAGCCCAGGCGAACTAATTGACGCCGAATTTTATAATTCAGTAAATAGACGGCTTAACTTACGGTGGTTAGAAATGGTAATTTTATGATTGCTCGCTCACCACAAGAAGATTCATTTCCGTGTGCCTGATACCATTATCTGTCATTTAACCAAAAAATGATTTAATTCAAATAAAATATTGCGTATGTATGTATGTATCTTTGATTATAGAGCCTGGATATTATAAGGACGACGACTTTGGGATTCGCATTGAAAATGTGGCAGTAATCGTTCCGGCAAAAACTGACTATGAAAAACCGTTTCTTACGTTCGAGACGGTTACATTAGTACCAGTGCAGAGTAAACTCCTCGATCCCTCAATGCTCAGTAAAGAAGAGGTATGATACACGGAAGCTATTAGATCTTTTTGCCATTACTTTTGCCCTTGCGTATTTATATATATTCATAAAACAAGTGTACACCTTTTTGGCTTTCTTTCAATAAATGTATAGTAATTTTCAATAGTATATATTATATTGTTAGTAAAGGATTTAGGATACTCCTCTTGCTCGAATTATAGCAGTTGCTTAATCTTTCTTAACACATATTAATACTTAATACTGATTATTTATAATCCGTTAATTTATTCTCACATGGTGTATATTTAAGACTACGTGGAAATTATACATTTGCAAATAAGAATAATAAATCTAGAAAAAGCATTGACATGTATGCTTGTCCTATTGACGAATTCGCACCACATTTCTCAGTAGTTAGTAAAGAAGACTTTGACATTGTATTTAAATATTTATTGCGTATCATTTTTCAGATCGAGTGGATAAATGGTTACCACGAACAATGTCGTTTAGTGGTAGGCAAACTGCTGGAGGAAACTGGTAAAGATGCTGCGCTGAAGTGGCTCCTCCGGGAAACGCAACCTATAGGTTAATGGAGGGCGAAAAACAGAAACGCAGGCGTCGTAACAACACTAAACGCTAGCAGATATTAACCGTCAATGAGTTTCAAGGAGCTCATATCGCCCTCATGAAACCGTGAACTGAAAGGGCAAAATTACAAGCAAGACAGCTGATAATGTCAGCCAATGACTTTTCGGAAGATGACCCTGAAAGGATACTATTTTAAAATATGAGGTTATTAAAGGCACGAGCATGGTCTGTTAGGAACTCTATACATACTATAACTTTTTTGGTTAGTTTGCCTACAAACAACCAGCATGTGACAAGTTTTTATAATATGTGCGGTGAGCGTTGCTTCTTTTTACTTTTTTCGGTATATTCCAAATCATAAGTTTTCTTTTTGAGGCCAATTAGATATCTGTGTAGTAGTTTAACAGCTTTTATTTCGCATGAACAAACTAACAGGAGTTTAGGTATCTGTTGCCCCTGTGGATCGTCCTTCTCGTCCGAGTACAGGGCGAACGTGATGACGTGTACCACCCATACTTATCAGCTGAAGTAAATACGACCTTATCTACCTCTTTATACCCATTTCCCGCGCCTTCTCCTCCTGAAAGGTCGAGGGGGATTTATCTGAATCGCATACAGCCGTATGTCTTGATTAAGGCCGCCGAAAATGCGGAATAACGTCGCAACGACGAACTGGAAGCAATAATAACAACTATACACGTACTAATTGAAAATAGCAGTGATTAATATAATTATCAATAATAAGATAATAATTAGACTCTTATTAAGATTTTTAACTGCAATGACGGGTCATGACAAAGCATAAACGGCAGCAATGATGCAAATCGTGCTTAGAAAAGGGTGTCAGAAGGAAAAGAGGAAGTAACTCAGGCGGAGACGGCGCATGTGGAGATGTAATAAGTTAATCTTATTTATTTTGAAGGTCAGTGAAAGATGCAATTAGTTCATTGATATTGGAATTTTAAAAACACTAATTGTGCACGCGTCAATTTCATGTACATTTTCGCGTATTGATGCAGTGTCTAGGAGTATTCCTGCCATGGTAAAATTTTTAGACATTCAGTCATATTGAGCGTCTTATTATCTCTCTCCATGTGCGCCCCATAAAATAAACGAGCTTGATCGCCTGACTTGTAAAGTTTGGTGAAGTATACAAAACAATTACGACGACCTACTAGATTCTATAAAAAGATAAAATGCTATATTATGATGGTCATGTTGGAGGAAACATGTTAGTGTTTATCTTAATGAATAACAACAGCAACCAAGAAGCAATAGAGTACGTCCTACCTCAGGTCCATCATTTTATCTGAATGCTAGTCATTAGTAATTGACACTTGAAAAGAAATACGAAGCGCAAGCATTAAAGAAGAAACCAATGTAACAAATAATAACAATAACACGATGATAATAACTACACCACCACAGAGCATTCATGATTATTGCAACACTAGCAGTCGCCAAGGGGATGTTGATTTTATCAATTATTATTATTATGGTTTAATCAATATATTATACCTGAGATAATTATTACGATAGACCATGAATAATCATGTGCGAAAGCTACTTTGAGGTTGGCCTTAAAAAGGCGTATCCGGTGTCTAACACCACACAGCCTCTCTTGGGTACTAAAACAATAATAAAGTTTATTACTACTACCAGTCGTAATACCAACTGAGAAGAATACAAGATTGAACAAAAAGACGAAAAAGCGAGTCAAGCTTGATTGCTATATTCCATAGATTATAATAGTGATCTATTATTATTATTATTGTATAGGAATCGAGTCATTTACATTTACAAAGGATTTCGTTTGCCTAATATCTCGCAAAGATAAAGATTTGTCAGACAAAGTCTGATTGATAAATTCAAAAGTGTCAGTGTTTATGAACGGATGACATATACTTCAGTGTGGCTCTCATAATATTACGACTGATGACGTTGGTAATGTTACTTCGGTCTGTTTGAATGATACGGGATGCGTTCGAGTATATGGGGTGGTGATGGTATCCATAGCAATAAAATAAGGAAACTGAGCTTTGTGCCTCCCTCACTAGTTTGTCGAGATAACCAGAATAGAGAAGAAAAGAAAATGTTACGAGAAATGGTCTATGTAGCTCGACGGAGTAACTGATAACATGTATAATTAAGACTATACAGAACTCCTATTCTTTTTATCCGACAGAGATAAAAAGAAAACAGAAACTACAACAGTGCCATCACGTAGCAATTCTTTCACTCTTAAGTAAATTGGCCAAATGGTGAAGAGAGCTGATATCTAGGAGTTTCCCATGGGCACAAACTATTCATATATGCTTATGGGCCTTTCAAGATTTCAGCATCGCCTGACTTACAAGTAGATCGAACCCAGCCCCTCCGAAAGGAGGCAACGAAAGAACTGCGAGATACAACCAAAAGAAGAACAACAAAAAACAACAACAACAACAACAGTAACAGACACATCAAAACTGTCTAGACGGGTAATATTATATACATCTATACATACACATATATATAGAAATATATACATATATACATTATATAAATTATATATACACATATATACAGCCAAGCAGGTGGCCAATAAAAAGGCAAGAGTAGCTGAACAGATTATACCGATGGACACGTTTATGTCGACAGAACGATAAAGATAATAGTATTAATGATAACAGTAATAATGATAATGTCAGTGACGATGCTACCAGATATATGTATATATCAGGTTGATTGTTTAGCTGCTTTTTTGTTTACGGTAACACTCTAGGGGAGTGCAAAACGAGGATCGCATGGGTATCGTATGCATATGGCGGCGGCAGCAGCGGAAATATGGCACCCACTGTTAATCCACAATAGGTATAATCAGACAGCAAACAGTTCGAAAAATAACAGAAAATTGAGGTCTTTATAAGCAACACTATGCTTTGTTGGTTAACTTACTACACTAACAACCGAACTGTTGGTTTAAATATATTTCTGATCATTATTATTATTATATTTTGAGAGTCTTCATGTCTTTTTGTTTATTTTCGAGAGTCAACAGTTACAGGTTGGCACGTGTTAACTTCGAAGAGTTAGATTGTTTTTAAAAGCCACTGACTGTACAATTTTAATTGTTTATTATGTTGTTAAAGTTATTATATTAAATGATATTAAGAATAGGCAAGGTTATGCAAGCACGTGCAAATATGCGATGTTACTGATAATCTTTTCTTTTATCGACTGAGGAAATATTATAGCCGGGCTCTGCCATCGATCCGCTGTGCGTCTGTTTATATAATATTGTAGAACGGACTGTGATGACAGTTTCGGTCGCTCCATCGACCTAAAATGCCTCACATTCACGCACTTGTCAGTGAGAATAATTGGCGATTCTTCTAAAGGATCGCTGTAAAAACCTTATTATGATTCATTTACGACTGATCGATCAATAATCGATTATTACCGCATAAAGCTTCAATAATTATGAGGACATCGTTGTGTTAATTCTGCCTCCAAGAGTTGCTGTTACATTATAGATTTTTCATTGGTGTAAGACAGTTTTAACCTTTATTGAAGGCTGGACTCATGACAATAATATTGACAATTGTACCATAGAGTATGAATTTATTACAAAATGGAGACAAGAATCATTATAATTATAATATATTTATAGATACTAAAGTGTGACCTAAGGAAAACATTACACTGGGCTCGATCCCACTGAATTCGTGTTTTTAGCAAAGACGCTAAATATGCCAAAATATGCTTCGGTAAGTTGCGAATATCATTTAAATTTTAACATAACACTATACACTGCTTTATTTTCTATTTACAGTCCTAATAAGTTACAGTTGTTAATGCTGCATCTCACCACTAAACAAGCTTTAACAGTATCTAATTTAAGAATTTTCCTTTCAGTGGTAAATTTTTGAAAAATTGTTAAAGCTGTAAGCTTATCCTTTCCGACTCCAAGTCTACACTGCTTTTAGTATCGAACTAGAAGAAGAGGTGGTAGCAGCGTCATTAAGATTAACGTGAAGCATCCTGGTTGACTGATTTGGACGCTGATTTAATGCACGGGAGTGTCAAAAGCATCGATGCTATTGTCATTCAATGCAGGACCGATTGCAGCACTAATTCATTAAAATACGGAAACCGTGAAAATAGAACAGGTCTAACTTGGATAGATGAATGAGCCACTATACACATTATTCTTTAAAGGTGTAGAGCTTCCGTGAGTTGCTCCGCCCAGCGCCAATAGAGTTCTAGTTCCTGCAGTTGGCATATTTTTACAAACGAGTCGCGCCATTTACATTTGCCTTCCCGTAACCCACGACCTCATCTACCTCAAACCGATGTTCGACTTACCCAAACTAACGGGTTATTTCGAAAAAAAGAAGGTTAACTCCTCAACCAAGTATACAAATGAGGCTTTAAGTAGCAGCAGAAGCTACTAACACCAGTTATTTGCAGCCTTAGGTGGCACAGCCCTTAGTTTTCGTTAGATTATTTGCACGTCTCGCGATCCAAGATCGACACAAGCATTGATGTAAGGGCAAGCTGAGCCAACGCCCTGGATACAACTACCTCAACACGAGCTACCTCACATATAGCAACGTACTATTAAGTTAGATAAGAACTAAATATTAAGGGTCTCCTGTAAAGGACAAACAAGTAACCTAGATTCCGATGCGGCGCTACTCCCTTTTGACCCCGTCTTGACGATCTCAGTTTTCGAAGCGTAGAGTAGACGAAACATCAAGATTCGCAGATTATTCAAGCTATTGTTATGCGTACCCAAGCGTCAAGCGGTATCAGTTATAAAAAGGGATGAAAGTGTGTTTTTCATCTCTCTTTTGAAGTTCCACCGTGCCAAGCTTCTCGCGGACATAAGTAGCATAACCGTAAATGCCACTTGCGTAACCAGCCTCCACTAAATGAAATTCTGATAGGTGCAAAAATTAGCCGAATAAAATTATTTAGTTCTGACTCAAAGTGAAAACAACATGGATTGCTATTCAAGTATGGCAGGAAATTGTCATTTTCTACTTTTAGCGTGTTTTTTTTTATGTCGGACTGACACAGGGATGTGAAACAAGTAGTAGTTGCTTGACAGGGGCGAAAGTCATTAACAAAAAGCTTTGAAAGGGAAGTGGTAACCAATCGGTGCCGCTGCGCCAAATTCCTACAGCAATAATCTTCACACAATGATGATGATACTGATCAAGTTGATTATATTATTACAATATATGAGCAAATACTACAGCAAGAAAAATATATCAAGAAAATATATAACAAGGCACTAATAATAATGATAATTTATATAATTATATACATATATATGTATGAGATATAATAAGAGAAGACAACATT